GTGGGTAATTCCATTTATTTACATAACTGATAACCTTCTTTTTCAACGAGATAATAATTTTTCATCAAGCTGTTTTCCAGAGTAATAGGACATGGAAATACCCTGTTTCAAATGTCAACTTCTAAGTGCAGGGAGAAGGGATTTTTCTCAGTGAAGAGAGAACAGCATGGGGGAAGGAAGGAAGGAAGGAAGGAAGGAAGGAAGGAAGGAAGGAAGGAAAACGGAATAGTGGAAGGATCACAATTATTCTTATAGATTCCTCCTCCCTACTTGCACTGTATTTGTATTTCTTCTTTTTTCCCCCTTGTATTTTCTACCTGATCCTTGTAACCCTTCTGCTAGATCCCTGGACAATGGCATACAGCAAAAACTTCAAGAAGAAATTCTTCTTCAACAAAATGACCAATGTAGCAACGTACAACCTCCTTCCTGAAGCCATTGCACCCTTTCAGTGAGTATGAGCCAGAGCTGAGGCTCTGGACGGGTCTGTGTGGTGTGTGTATGCCTGAGTGTTCGGCAGGGAGCTCAGCGGTGCTGTGTCCTTGCAGTGGTTTGCAGTGCAAGCGCAGCTAGTCACCAGCAGGGTGTGCTGCAGGAGTTGGCACCTTCTCAGGCTTTCAGGAAACTGCTGATGTGGAATCATGGATTTTGCAATTAATGGCTATGAATAACAAGCGTCTCACAACTTTGTTCTGCTATCTGCAGCTGACTACAAGTTACTGAACCTACTGCATGCGGGGAAGTAGAAATTGAGCCCAGAAAGTGTAGTTTGTTCCATCTGTGTTTTTAACATGTTTGGTTGGAAGTTGCTAATTTAAAAGCAAATCCCAGTTCATTTAGCCCAGGCTCTAGAATAAGCTGCGGGAAGCTGGGAGGTTTTTTTAGAGACTGGGAGAGAAAAACAGTGGCTCCTTGGGAAAGGATGGAGTGGCTTGTGATTGGACAGTAATTAACATTGTGGTTGCTGAAAACCATCTGTATCTACTGAGTATTAGGCTGAGGGCATTACCTAAGGACAGCGAATCCTGAATCTGATTCCTCAGGGCTCCCGGGTAGAGATGTTCGGCACTACTACCATTACCCAGGACTGTGCCTCTGAGTGAGAACTTGATATGAAATAGCACTCCTGATTTTCTCACTTTGCACCTCCTTACCTGTCTTACAGCAGCACTTTCAAGAATCCTTATGCCTTTCTTCATGTGGTGAATGGCAGAACAGGCTTAAAAGGAGAGGCACATGATGCTTTTTCCCTGTTTGTCAGGATGGGGCTAGTTCTGCCTATGTACTATGAAATAGGCCAGCATGAACCTACAGGAATGGCTGAGGAGATGGAGGGAGTGCTTGTGTGGGACTCCAGAAGAAGGGATGTGTTGTGGTTAGTGAGTACTAATATGTCTATAATTAGCCACTGACATGGGCTCTTGTTGCTGTGCTAGTACTGCTTTGTTAGAACAGAAGCACTAAATAAGCTATGAATATTAAGTGTCAGTAATTGTACAAAACTAAAGGCTGCTGTGTTGGCAGTAATTAGGAGCTCTGATTTCATTATGGCTGGGACTGTGTTGATACAGCGAGGGAGAGCTGTGCTTGATGGATGGAGTGGGAGATGGCATTGTAGGACCAGAACTCTCAGCAGCCAAGCAGGGCTCAGTTATTTCACATGAGGGGAAAGAGGGAATTATCCTAGCTGCAATGGGAAGTGCTGTTTATTTGCAAAGCTCCGTAGGACAGCTGTTACTGATTATAGTAGGTATGTGGTGAGGGATTAGGTTATTGCTCCTGGCATACTTTCTAAATTCTTCATTAAGATCTTTCCATTGCCTGCAATGACAGTTTGATCCTCTGAGAAACTTGGGGGGAGGTAAGGCTTTTCCCTAGTGACCTGACTCCTTCCAGCAAATACTGAACTGAATTTGAGTGAAGCTAGAATTAAGAAGTTTGTTTCCATGGAAATCTCTTAGGCTTCGCTGTTGCTGTACTTTGAGGGCTGTAGAGTTTGTAAGGTGAATGAATGAATGAATGCACCAGTCTTTTCTAAGGCACCTCTTGTGAGTATTTCTGTGTGGCTCCCATAGCAAGGGCAGCTGTCTGTCGCTGAGATGGAAGTGTTTTCCTTTCCCTTCCCTGCCAGACTAATCTTGCTTTCCTCTCTGTCCACAGTGTCTGCCATTACAGCCGCCTCTTCTGGGAATGGGGAGAAGGTGTCAAAGTGCACGACTCTCAGAAAAGACAAGATCCAGAGAAGTTATCAAAGGAGACTGTCCTGTCTTTCATCCAAGCACACTATCCCTAACCCTGCTCTTTTGAGGGTGCAGGGAGGGGCCAAGCCCAGCTTGGATTCTTCAGGGACTGATGGGACTGGGAAGGCTCCACAACTTCTATCCTGGTATTCTCCAGAGCTGATTTCCTGGAGATGATCGAACCAGAGGGTGGTATGCAGAAGGCACAGGATGAGGCTTTACCCTGGCAGTGTATATAAGAGTACAGCCCAGGTAGCACCTAGTGCTAGGGTACCCAAGGTGACTCCTGGAGCCAAGGCCTAATGTCCTTTTTTCCTGACCTACTGCATGCATGAGGCCAAGGGGCTGGCAGCTTTTTTTGCTCCTATTCAAACATTCAGCAAGGTTTGTGGAGCTGTGTGTGTGCCAGAACTCCCCAGGCTTCTGCTTCTCCTGCAGTGTGGGAAGGAGCAGAGATGTTTTGATGGCAGAGCTGGGCAACAGCACATTGAAGCAGCCCTGCATTGCTCCTGGCAGCTGTCTCCTTGGCCTTGTCAAAGGCTACACTACCCAGTGGAGGATGGTAAGTCTTTGGCGAGCTGTGGCCAGAAGTTATATATTCTTGTCGGTGTCTCCAACACTTCTGTTTATCAAGGCACTCAGCTAGCCACTGGCAATTCTTATGTCATGGTTCCCTGTTGGACAAAGGCCAATGCAGGTGATGAGTACAGTTCCTGGCACAGATCTGATATGCTCACACCTCTGCAAGCTGCTGTGACAAGGATTTTCCCTCTCCAGGTTAGTGACTAATGCCAAGCCAGCAGCCTGGGGTTAATTTTTGAAAATATATCATGGTTGGTATACGTGCTTCATGGTACTTCTGAGACCAAGGTGCTTTGATTCTTGGTACTCAACATTATTACCTAAAAGTTCAGGGAGGAAAATGGATGTGGGAGGGAAGACACAGAAAAAGTAGCATGCTGAAGTCTCTGGAAGAAATGATGGGAATATCTAACTTAGGTGAAAAGACCCAGGACTTCAGTAGAAAGATACCTTTAACCATGTAGGTTAATCAGAAGCAATCTTGTCCCCTTACTGTGCCCACAGTTACCAGACTTTCCTTTTTAAATACCAGAGTGGCTTTGAAATCCTCTGTATCTCATTTGGCTCTGAACTGCAACCGAGGTGAAGGTACAGAGCTGGGAAACTCAGTATGGCATTTGTGTCAAGACTTCATGCACTCTGCCAGGCTCAGAGTTGGCTTCTGTTGCATGTTTTACCTTCACTTCTGGCTTCCATGGCACTTTGCCAAGTCTTCCACATAAATAAGAAGATAGTTGAATGCTTTTGGACAAGCAGCAAGATGGTCCCCTTTTTTGCCTTTTTTTTGTTTGTTTGTTTGCTCTTGGCTCGTTTTTAAACACAGATTGGCAGTAGGGAGAAAAGTGATTTAGGGGTTTGTCTGAACTGTGCCTTAAGGAAAGCTATAGTTCTAGAATCTATAGCAGTTGTTTAGATTGTCTTTTTCTCCACATCCATATGAATGATTTGAACAAGCCTGTGCAGTGAAAAATAGAAATTCTGACTTAGACACAGGTCTGTCGAAGTAATTGAAGGACTGCAGCCTGTTAATGCATCCTCTTGGCTGATCTGTAGACCCTCTCTGCTCTCAAACACTGGTAAAACATGTATGAAAGAAATGGTGTCTCTCCCTTCTAAACAACAAGATGTGTGTCATTGGCAAAGGCACTTCCATGAGGGATAGGGAGGAATCTCTCCCAGTGGGCAATAAAGTGCCTCAACCTCTGGTGTCCAGGCCTGTGTGCAGTTGGCTTTTCAAACCAACCAGCAATTTGAGTTCTGAGGACCTCTGTGGACTGCCTTGAGGCTGTTCCAGTGCCAGCAACGCATACTGCTCCCTCTGCCAGGCTCCTTTGTAGAGTGTTGTATCCTCAGCTCAGAGCTTTGACTCCTGTGGGCTGGCAGACAGAAGAGTGACTAGGAAGTAAACTAGGATCAGTGTAGGCCTTGGAGGGTACAAAAAAACCTGGTCAGTCTGCAGGCTAGCTTTTATGAATGGATACTTTGTTTACTCAGTTATCTCTAGTTCCTCATTTTAATTTGCTTTTATTTTTATTTTTGATGCACTGAACCTTGATTCTGAATCTCCCTTCAAGAAGGCAAGCATGAACCACCAAGCTACTTGCTTCCCTGCTGAGGGACTATGTTGGGAAGGGCGGGTGAGGAAGGTCTTGCTGAAGGGAGTGTTTATGTATGTTAATTGCACAATGTATTGTTATTAGGCTTTGTATAATTTTGTGTTGACTTCTATGCTTTCATGTCCTATTACCAATACAGCCCCTTTAGTTCACAGCGGTGCTTCTTTCCTTTGCTTCCCACAAAATTCAGGCCAGCAGTGTCTGTCAGTGTGGCAACAGAGAAATACCAGCAGAGTTAGATTTTCAAGGCAATCCCTTTTAAAGGTTTTTGTGGCAAGTTTAGAGCATTGGAATGAGAGGCCATTACAGGTGACAGTCTCTGTCACTCCTGCAACATGGGTAGGCTCCTGTTCCACTCAAAGGAAGTACATTCCAGGCCACAACAAACCAGTAACCCGCTGTTGAGAGCTTACTGACCAGGGAGTTACGTGCCTAACATTGTCTAGGCTTACCATGGTGCAATGTGTGCCAGTAGGGAGATAGTAGGATGAGAATAAAGCAGTGGCTGAGAAACAGGACAGAACAGGGAAAAAAACCCCAACCAAATAAACAGAACAGGAAATTAAAAGGTCAAATTATTTTATTTAAAGCTCTACAGAAGCACTTCCATCTCTGGAGGTTGATAGTGAATGGTCTTCTGCAAATGCTGATTCTCAAAGGCACGAAATGGCTACCAAGCTCTGATGCACTGGAGAGATAGGCAGATCATCACACAGCCCAAGCACCCAGATCTTAATGTGGATGTACTTGCTTGCAGAGATACCTACATCCCATCTGCTTTTGTGGAGGTAGGATTCCTTTGGTCCTGGAAGTCACAGTGGAGGAGGAAGCATCTTTAGCTCAGCTCTGGGAACATACAAAATTGCAATACCTACAGATTACCCTTTGAATCAAGAGCTTGGTCCCTTCAGTTTATGACTGTGTCACAGGAGCCAAGGTCTGTATTCGACCTGGGTTGGGCAGAATGTACTGTCTGCAGCCACAAAGGTCCTCTTTAAAATAATGTATTGCATTCCTGGATCAGGCTGGATGGTCCCGACTGTGTTTTGGCTAAGATGGCACCACCTTGAGCTCTGCTTGACCTGATTTCAAAGCGTAAGTGTGCTGTGATTTCTGGTTTGTCTCCTGTCCTCAATTTGCAGAGAAAAACCTTCTCTACAACAGGGCTTGGAGACAGTAAACAAGAACAGTAATTTGAAATGCTGATCCTCACCCTTGGGGGAGGCACAACGGTGAGAGGAGGAAGAGTTCCTTGCAGGAGTCATTTGTTCAACAGGAAGAATTCTTGAGTGCAATCACATCGTCCAGCAGGCGTAAATAAGAGCAATCAGCAATGCCATGGCCACAGCAAGGGCAGCATTCTTGCGATTTTCCTTACGAAGCACACTCAGTTCTTTCTCTGGGAAACAAACAAAAGACTTGCCTGTGAAGGTTCTTCATGTTGCAGCTACACCTCCTTTCAAAACTCTCTTAGAAGCACAAAGCTACCTTGGCCACGGGCAAAAATTTTGGGAGCAGTATGCAAAGCTGTCAGTTATAGAATGTTTGGAATGGGAAGTAACTACCTAAACTAGCAGGAACCCTTTCATTTGCTCTCATCCTGACACTTGTGGTAGCTGTGCTTGGGAAGACTTGAGTGCCAGACCAGTTCCTGTTGGCAAATGACATTGCTGTAGGCCTCTATTAAGGACAGACTGTGTCATTAGAATAACTGCTTGTTCCATAAGAAAATGAAGGAGACAGGAGAGCAGAGAGATATCTTCTAGATTTAACAGCCTGGTGGCTCTTTCTAATGCTAAAATTTAAATACAACTGTGGCCATCTTTGAATGTTGCAGAATCTGTGTTTCCTTACACCTCAGAAAGATCAGTGTGGAAAAGGTCTGAACGTGGACACTTACTTATTCTGTTGGGGTTTGAAGCTTTTTAGAGATAGGTTAATAAGGGTGAAGGAAAGCAACCTAAGAAAACAGATGCAGAGAGAGGAACACAGTGGCTACTTCAAGTATGGAGTCTTGCTGATCTCCATTTCTGTTTACCAAAGATGAGAACCCCACTCTTGCTACTTCTGTTCTACAAAACTTTGCTGGGTGGTACAGGCAAGCAGTGAGGCCTCTAGCCTTACACACTGCATGGCCAAACAACTAAATGTTTGGCTAGCAGAGTTGGGTGGGGACTGTCTCTAGAGACAGGCTGCTTTTACTGCCGAGTTCATCTGCAGAGAATGCACAGCTTAATGCCTCAGCAGTTTGCACAGGCAGCCTCCAGCATTTCCCCAAGTGGTGTTGGTACTCAAAAGACTTTTAGCTGTTCTTTCTGCCCCATTCTTCATCTAATACAAGCATTCTCATGCAACCACTTGAGCAATCTGCTTGAATCTGCAAGGCCACAAAAGAGGTGACAGGGTCACATAACCTCATGCACAGCAATGCCAGCTTGAACTGGTGCTGACAATGCCATTGTCAGCAGCTGCAGTTCATGGCCTCAAGTGTATCAGCTGGAATAAGGAAATATTTAATTAGGCCATAACAGTGATGTCACCATTAGGTGAGGCTGTTGCTGTCTGAGCTGCTGTCAGACTGCTCTGACATGCCAGCAGGGATGGCTGACTGCTAACTGCTAAAAGGGTAGCAGCAATTTTCAGTCTGTCTCTACTGGTAGACCCTTAGGGAACAGCTTTCAGTCTGTTTAAAGTAACTGTTAGTCTTCTGGAAACAGTCCTCTAACTTGAGTTATAATTACAAATTTAGAGGGTTAGCCATACCCCAGCTTTCAACCCTCTAGACCTAAAACAATACTTGTTCCTCTTTCCCTTGTGTGAGCTCTGCTGCTTGCACAGCTGCAGAGTACTGCCAAGTGTGGTATCTCAGAGAGACTTTCATTCTGTCTACAGCAGGACTTGCATCAGGGAAAGACCCTGACTCTCTAGAAGTGCAGGTAGCACAACACTGTGAATCACTATGCCCTTGTGCTGAGTGGCCTCATAAACTGATGCAGTAAGAACCTTCCCCAAGGAAGGCATACTTTGCTACACTCCTGATAGCACTTGCCTTCTTGCCTAGCAAGCTTCTACTAGGAAAAAGAAAAAAAAAGATTGTAGGGAGGGATGTTAAAAGCTACTCGAGCCAATCTGTTAGCTATGATTATCTAAGGACTGGTAATTTGGGGTATGTGGAGGGGACATTTTCTCCCCTTCATTAGCTGATGCTTGTTTTTTTCGCTATGGAAGTACAGCTCAAGTAGGAGGATGCAGACTCCTATTATAATATGCTGACTACATTTCCATTAGTCTAGCTCCCTTTGGTTGAAGCTAAATTCAAAGGCAGAAGTCAGAGGTGGCAGGAGCTTGAAGACAAAGCTAAGCTGCAGCACTGATCCCATCCTGCCCAGAGGGACCATTTTTAATGAAGCTCTTACCATAGTTGTCAGCTTTGGTCATTAGTAAGTTTCTCTCTCTCTCCAGTGACTTTCTGTAATGAGAAGAGGAGTTCATTACCTGCAAGGCACAACACAGCCTATTTCTTTGCTTACATGATGGAAGAGAGACTGTCCCCACTGCTGGGGATATCTGCTCAGAGGATAAACCCTTCACCCCTCCCTCTTGGAAGGGTGACAGTTTAGAAATACCCACTTGTGCAAGAGAAGAGATGCAGCATTTTAGATGATTTTTTCCTTCCCCAAAATTACTTCCTATCTCTCCTTTCAGTAGAGCAGTGTAAGCAAACAGCTAGAAAGGGCTCTTGGGTCAGTCCCCTTCTCTAGGTTCCCCTAGGTAAGGCAGGAAGTTCTGACACGGCTATGGGATGGGGCAGGGTCCTTATATGCTCTCTGGAGGAATCCTGCCCCTCCCACCACATTGGGCTTAGCGCTGGAACAGTAATTATTCTCATCATTTGAAGCAGGGATCCCTCTATCAGAGGTATCCAATTTACAGAAATTGGTGAACTCAAGGAAACAAGCTGAATCCAAGCCCAGTACTAATGAGTTAAACTACCTCTCATTAGACTGAAGACTCATAATAACAGTAAAGACTAAGGCCAAACCAATCCTTGTCTTGAACTGCACAAGATGATTAATTAATATGCAGCTTAAAATATAAACCCAAAATAAAATTCCTGAAAGCAGCAATGTTTCCATTATGGCAGTGAGGACACAGTCAGTCCTTTCAGACTGTGCACATAAATAAACATGCACTAACAAATTATCTCCTGGTTAACAGAAGGCAGCAAGTGGAACAGAGTTTGTTGTTCCCCTTGGGGCACAGCAAGAACAACCTGAAGGAGGAAAAAGATCCAAATCTATGTGTAAAGCTAGTTAAATATAAGGGAGTGCAAGAAAGCAAGCTACGTCAGGAGAGGAAAGGGGTCTTAAAGAAAACTGGGGAAAGGCAAGGTGGAGAGCAGCTAGGAGGAAGTGAGAAGACAGATTTACCAACATGACTGAAGCTGCTAGTTAGAAATTTGCCTTGTGAAAAGAGTCAAGGGAAGAAGCTTTGAGAATGAGACATGAAGAAACCATGACAACTGAACTTCAAAGTGGAAAAGCAGAGCTCCTCTTTGTGTGCTATGCACTGAATCGATAATTTTGATCACAGTACCTTCCCTCCAGGGTTTTTCAAAGGGTCTGGAATAGGACAATGGAAGTTCTGTTTCTATTTCCATAGAAGCTATAAAATTCATAGAAGGCCCCAAGAATCCCAATTCATAATTCTTTGCTCTAGGCCCTGCATTTCAGACAGAAACCATCATGTATCACATCCTGTCAAGTTATCACAACTGTAGGTTTGGTGGTTGGCCACATAACTACCAGATAAATACAGACAGTAAACAAGGAGAATTTAGGCCAGAAAAGGATTGTTGAGACGAGGAGCTACAGAGAAGAGAGACAGGACCCTGTCTAACTATGGATGGGGATATAAAACTCCAGTAAAGGAGGAGGGGGAGTGCAAAGGAGAGTTTAACAAAGAAGTAAACTAAGCCTGATAAGTATCAGGGGATGGAGACATCACTATTGGTATGATCACTTCTAATGGGGTTCTACAGGACAGTACTGTAGAACAAACACCAGGATCATCAGGACCACTGCCAGGGCCTATGACTGAGCTTCCCGGCCTTTTTTGCTCAGAGCAGAGCAGTAGGATCTTAGTAACTGAAAAAATGTCCGCAAGCAGAGAGATTTGAGAATCAGCTGGGAGATCTAAAATCTCTCGCTTCACACTCAAGAGAAACAGCAGGTTCTGCCCATATCTGCTACAAAATCCAGGCCAAAGTCCTTGCTTGAGTCCCCAGCTCTAGAAGCCAACAGTTGCTTCCTCTAGAGCAGCACAATTTTCAGGGGAATTGACCCTCTTAGCTTTCCCAAGAAAAGCCAAAGCATCAATGCATCCCTACATCCAGATACATTAGCAACAGAGGCACAGATATATTTCCCTCAGCTGCTTTTGCATCTGGATCCCAGCCTGGTTTGGCCCTCACTAGTTGCTGCACATCTCCCTGATTGAACCCAGGTGGCTTCCACAAGGCTTGAACAGCAGTGTGCAGAAAACCTTTGCCAGACTCACAGAGCAGATTTGTAGCAGGCCAGGAGCCAGATCTGCACATGAACTGGCAGGTTTCAGGCACTACATGTCTGGTTGTGGCACAGGCTGTTAATATGATATAGCTCTCTCTCTGTATCACTGCACTTTTCACAGAAGCAAGTTCCCCAAGAAAGCTCCAAGCTGTGGGAAGAGAGTCTTGTCATGGGGAAATCACACATTTCCACCCCTTTAAGAGCCCTTGCTTGGTCCTACTGCACGGATGACAGCTAAGCTGAAGTGCACTCCCACAGCTGTGAAAGGAGCTGGTCAGCAATACCTTCCTTCAGGGCTGAGCTTCTCCCTGCGCAGCTTAAGATCCACCTCTTCCATGCTCTGTCTGCAGCGTGCCAGCTTCTCCTCCAATCCATCAATCTGAAAAACACCACACCAGTCACCATCATTTCTTCTCCCAGTGTACAAGGATTCATTCCCACTCAGATGGTGGCAGCTCAGCCACTCTTCCTCCCCAAATCAAGGGAAGAACCCCAGATCTGTGTAGAGACCACAGCACAGAGATGTCATCATCTCCCAGATCAGCCTGTATTCTAGCCCAGACAACATCACCCCAGACATAGCCAAACCAGCCCTGTCACTGCCTATTGTGTGGCTGGCCAGCATCCTTTTGCTAGGTTCTGATCCTCTTCCAGCCTATTACAGTTTCTTTGCACGTGGGTCCACAAACAAAAGTGTGATCTAAGGTATCTTTATGCAATTAGAGGATAAAAAGAGAGACAGAGGCCTAAACCAAAGCCTGAGGGACAGGGTCTTGATTTAGCATTGTGAATGGATGCAGAAATCTACAAAGCACCTCAGCTGTTTGGTTGGGTGAAAAGGGAACAAAGGTCCAGGCTCAGGTCTCCAGTCTCTTTTACCCAACTAAATCTACAACAGCAACAGGAATCTGCACAGTATGCTCAAAAGAACATTCACCACTGCCTCCTTCAACCTGTACCAAGTGTTGGCAGGAACATGTTTCCATGCAGAAAAACACTGGTTATCTCCTTGTGTCTCTTCATCAAAGCATCTCAATAGCCACCCCTGTGTCTTCCTGTGGAGGGGAGTAACCACAGCTAAGCACAGGAGGGTTGGTTTCCTTGTGTGCAAACAGACTGCCCAGGAGGGAATCCTACCATGGGCAACAGTTCTGGGAATCATTCCTCTCTTCTGCCTGGCAACCACAGCATAGACATCTCGAGGAAAACTCTGTCTTTCAAGCTTGCTTCCAGCAGGGAAACAGTGGGTCTAATCAGATGATATGAACACAACAACCTAGCCTGAAAGAAAACAGCCTCGGTGCACTAAGGTGGCAGTGACCTCTCTTTTGAGCTACTTAGTGCAGCACTCCTGCTGTGCCTGGTTCTCCAGGGAAGGCAAGGCTGGCAGCACGGCCTCCCCGTGGTGAGAGCCTTCACGCACCAGACGCTAAGAGGCAGCACAGTCTCGGGTAAAGGTGGAATGAGATGCCTGGACACCAGCCTCAGAGGCAGCCCAGAGCACAAAAACACTCATAAACAGTAATAAGGGAAACAAAATCAAAGGTAGTGATCCCTAATTATTGCTGCTTTGGGATCAGCTCTGTTCTGATCAGCTCCTGTTAATGAGCTCATTAACAATCTCACACCTTCTGCTCAGGAAAGGCAGGCAAGAATTATAACTAAGCAGGATGGGAGAGAAGAGGCTTGACATAAAGCAGTCCATGAAAAGAAGTTTAACCAGTCAGTTAAATAGTCTGGAAGGAGCACAGCAGAGCTGGGCAGGGGGACACATATAACAAGGCTCAAATAAATCTTTGATTTATCAGATAGCAATGTCAAAGTCCTGGGTTATTAGGCAACTCTGCCAGTGCTCAAGATGCCAAACTCCCTAAAGGTACATGCAAAGCTTCCTGAGCCCAAGGGGAGCACCAAAGCTTATCACCCGATCCCAAAGCTCAGGGAATAGCACTTCTGTGTTTGGCAATGCTTGGGTTTGCCTGGATGAGGTTCGTTGTCCTCCTCCATTTCCAGCTGTGCCAGTTAAGAATGTTAGCTGCAGCTGCTCATTGCCATGCCATCCACTACAACTCAGTCAGCATGATGCATTGCCCCAGTCTGCTTCAGAGCCAAGAACGGACTTCACCCAGGCCAGCTCTGACCATACTTATCAACAAGTTAATTTAATAGCAGAGAGTGGTACAGCAAAGATGGGGTGTTGGTCCAGCCAAATGTAAGAATTACTGTCCCCCTCACCAGTTCCTACAATTTGCAAATGGCTGTTTCTGCTCCCTTAGCTATTAGAAACCCTTATGTGCACACACAGGAAAAGATGCTTCAGCATGTGTTACCTGGCTCCTCCTTAGCCTGTTAAATTTTTACAGTGCACCATGGCTTCTCTGGAAATGCATTTAAAATTAATGTTAAATAATGTATTAATGAATTAATGAGAGCTTTAGTTAGTCAGCTGCCAACTCCACCACTAAATTATCCATGCTACTGCACTCCAGTCCTCTCCTCCACGCCTGCTCCTCCTGCTCAGCTGGCAGTTGCTCTCACTAATACATTCTCTGCCCATACTTCCCTCATTTCATGAGAGTTAACAAGTGTATATTCTGCCCAACTTCGTAAATCCTTTTACTTTCTGCTGACTAAAAATCTCCAGATTCCACATAATACTTTAAAGTTTCAACTGGTTTTACTGCTCTTAAATCAAAACCCAAGTTTGGGTCCCCTGCTGGAGAGCAATAATTTGCTAATAAACCACATACCCTAGAACTGCACCATCAGCTGTGCTGAGCCAGGGGCACAAGGGATAAAAAAAAACAGGAAAAAGAAAGCAAGAAAGGAGGAAGAGATTGCTGAATGAACAAAATATTTTACTTTCAGAATCTCACTATTTCTTTTCTTCTGGCTAGCCTGGGTTATTAGGGGTTATAAGGAAGGACAAGAGTGGGGATTCACAGATGGTATCCATTCACTGTGCCTCAGTTTCCCCACTTCTAAATTAAGACAATATAATCTGCCTCCTGAAGGCAGCTCATTTGAATAAGAAGCCTCAGACACCAACCCAAACTATGGGCAGAGCACTATCTTGATATGTCAATGTCATTGCCTTGCTTGGCATTTAGGATCTGCTCCTGCAAGCCAGGAGTCTCTCGGCAACTCAGCCATCCAAGTAACTTCACTGCAGGACAAAAGAAAAGAAAGACAGAAAATAAGCACAGGGAAAAATCAGAGTAATGCTTGGGAACTACTGATTACTCTCTGGGGTGCTGAGGAAACTCCTAGGGAGGGCCATAGTCTGTAAAATTGTAGCACAAGAAAATCTGTAGGGCTTTGCCCTAATTCCCTCCTGCAGCTAGCTCTCTGGGAGAGCAGTCCTAGAAGCAGGTGCTCTAGGGTGCTGTGGATGGAAAGCTTTCCCTCCTACTAAATAATACATGAGGTTAGCTGGGGTATATACCTGGGCACATTGGAAGCCCACAGGAAAACAAAGATACTGCCTTATCTCTTTAGTGGCAACCTCAGCACAGTGCCTCCTAAGTTGCAAAGATGAACCCTTACTCCTTTTAGCTCTCCTTTCCTTGAAGGAGATCCTCTGGGACAGAGCTGAAATGCAGCAAGCTCACATGACAGCTCCTCAGGTTTACACAGATGATAGCAGGGACACAGGACTTCACTCACAGCAACTTCTTTAAGTAGTTCCAGTTAAGAAGGGGGAGTGAAACATGTGCTTCACATCCAGGCAGCAGATCTGGGAAGACAGAGCTGCCCTTTTGAAGCTCCTCAGGAGACACTCCAGAAAGTCAAGTCCCAGCAGCTTTAGATGCACACCGAGATCTAAGACCAGATGCCTCCTTTGCTCCACAGGTATGACAAGGCATTCAGCTATTTTTGTTGAATTTTGGCAACACTTGCTCATGATCTGGAAACCTTTTTAAACCAGACAGACCTGGAATGGATTTCAGTCCAAACTGACTTACATGCTTATTACAAATTCCATTTGTTGGTACCATCTTGGGCAGGGAGCCCGAAACGGGAAACATAAAGGTAGAGAGAAGTGAAAAAGAAGCAGCTTTGCTTATAGAATTGAGCTGGATCCCATTTAATACATTTTGTAGCAAATTAATGAAAGCTTTCTTTCCAGCAGAAAGGCTAAAAGCGCTTTTCAAGAACTGGCATCCACCCTCCGCTTTTATGAATTCCCTAATTAAGATACTGGCAAAGAGCCATATCACACATACGTCGACATCCAACAGCATTAGGTAATGAGGTTTTCATCTTCTGACCCTCATAAAACAGATCAAAGCCAACTGAAGAGGTGGGGGCAAAGAAAAAAAAAACCTTCCCTGTACAGTCTTTACATGCCTTGTCACCTGCCAGCACACTTGAGCTGTTCTTTCACAGAAGCATTAATGGTTCCTGCATCCACAAATTTGGCTGGATTATTAAAATCAGTCCAGCAGAGACAAATTTTGTTTAAATTCAAGTGCTAACTTACTTTTCATGGACACACTTCCATTTTCTCCATGCTCTTGGAATAATTTTGCACACTGGAAAATAATTTCACAGATATTCCACCCACACCATGCTTGGAAATATTTACTAGACAAGCTATTCACAGCAGAAGATGATCCACTAGCAAAGTCTAAGATGACTCCTGCAGAACAACCCTGTGTGTTGATAAAGGAGGAAAGGCTGGATCCTACCTACACCTCTTCCCTCAGCCTTGCAGGGACCATCTCGTTAGTCAGTGCATCCTGCCTCAGTCCAGACCAGCGGCTTTGCAGGACCGCACACAGACATGATCACAGAGCACTTGAGCCAGATTTTTGAAAATTTCTGCAACAACAGCTGAGTATGAACTGTGTCAGCCTTTTCCCCATTCTTCATGCTCTTTCACAGACACTGATCAGCCACTGCCCTGTCAGAAGCAGCAACACATGTAACAATACTTTCTAGAAACACACACCTGACATTTTGCAGCCCAGGCACCGCCTTTAATTTAGTGCACTTTTCTGCTTCTCTGATACTTTTCTTTTTCAGTTGCTGCTTGAGCCACAAGTATATTTTCATGGCTACAATATCCTTTGGCAAGAAGTTTTACAGCAGGTTATGGGAAGAACCAACCTCTCCTGTTTGTTCTGAGCTTGTCAGCTGCTGGTTTCATTTGATAGCCATAACTTTGTATTGACAGTGTATGATCACTCTGTGTTTAAGGCTACAAATAACACGCAGCGTATATGGACCTATGCTGGGTCCCTTGCAGTCATGTCTTCCAGCTTAAAAGGACCTGGAATGTTTGGTAGTTTTCTGCATAGTTCTCCACACCTTTGGTGATCTGTGTCACTCTCTTGAGTCAATTCCATTTTCACTATTTTGGTACAAAATGGACTAGTCTTGCCAGTTTCATTTTCCTGATGAGTTTCCTCAAGCAAGTCCTATGCAGCTCAGCATTGTCGATAGAGCTGCCTGTCAAAAGACTAGAGCTATAAGTGGTATGAATTTAAACCACCACAACATTATAGAGATCCATTTATATCTATTTAAACCAGATCATATCAATTACATCTGCAATTTGTAAGTGCAAGCTAATCTGATAAGTGTCCATACAGAAAATTGCATTCATTTAGCATCATGACTTCAGTTAAACAAGCATGACTCTGCCTAGATGAGGTCTTTCAAAGCTAGTCATGCATCAGGTCATATTAAGACTAATTTGAAAAGTTTTCTTTACAATCATAACAGCTCAGAAGGTAATACTGAACACAGTAAGTTTAAATTATGAATCAAGTATCTTGGTTGTCATACAAACTGAAACATAGCCTTCTCTTCCTTTGGCTTAAAGGGATTTTTTTCCTTCCTCCCTATCCTCTCTTCAGTAGTGTTCTCATCATTGCAAGCGGAAAGAATTTTATCTTGTAGTAGTGTCTTCGCAGAGACTTTCACCTAAAATGCACAAAAAAAGACTAGTTCTACAATCCTTTCAAAACTAGTATGTTCCATCATGAAAACTTCTTAAAAAAACTCCAAAACCTAATATAAAGCTACTACAAGTCCTCAAACACTTTGCAAGAATTTTCTGTGGCAGCTAAAATCAGTCCCTTTTCATTCTGTGAACAGCAGGTCCCTAACAGGCTGAGCCATTTTGCCACCAACCTTTTTGTAAGGTAGACCCTACATACTCAACTCTTTCTCTCTGCCACCTCTCAAACCACAACAACAACAAAAAAAAATGAAAAAAAAAAAAAATTCACTCTTCAGTTCTCTCTGGTAGGCTCACCAAAGGAAGCCTGGACAGTCAGCACACCCCTTTGGACTCCCTTTGGTGGTTATATTTGGGTTAGAGTGCCCAGAACTGTGTTCCTCTAATGAAAGCCTAACCAATGACACACATCAGAAAACAATAAATCGAACTCCCATTCCACACAGCAGGATGAGAAGGGATCTCATCAATACATATAAATATCTTAAAGGTGGGTATGAAGAGGTTGGTGCCAAACTCTTTTCAGTGGTGCCCAGTGACAGGATGAGGAGCAATGCCCATAAACTAAAACACAGGAATTCCACCTCAATGTGAGGAAAAACTCACTAGTACTGGCTACTCAGGCAGGCTGTGGGGTTTCCTTCTCTGGAGACATTCAAAATCTTCCTGGTCATGTTCCTGTGTGATCTGCTGTAAGTGATCTTGCACTGGCAAAGGGGTTGGATGAGATGATATCCAGAGGTCCCTCCCAGCCCTAACGATTCTGTGACACTCACCTGTATGTTACTAGCTGATGACACATATGTGACACGCTTTGCCATTTCCCTGGCCTTTTCATTCTGGTTACCTTGGTCTGTTGTGCATGTGCTCACCTGAAAAGACTTTAGGGCAGAGAGGTGACCAGTGAGATTCACTGAATAAATTCTGCCCCATTTCAGCCATTTGTGAGGAACACTCAGGATTTGCTGTCCCCACAGGATCCAAACTCACAGACCTGAACAGACTTGAGTCCAGCACTGTTCAGTGTGGGAGCCAGAAAGGCATATGCTTTAGAGAGACCTTAACTAACACAAGTCAGCTGATTAACAGAGATACAAGGCTTCAACAGAGCTTACCAGCAGCCCACCTGCCACTCAGGAGATCACAGAACCACAGAATGGGTAAGGTTTGAAGGGACCACAGTGGGTCATCTGCTCCAACCTCCCTGCCCAAGAGGAGTCATCCTCAAGCACAAGTGGAATCTCCAGTGAGGGAGAGAGAGACAAAATACACAAGCACAACCATAAAAAGGCAGCTTTAGAAGGGAGGCATACTCTTAAAACCTAGCCTTTCCCCTTTCTCCTCGCTGTGATTTACAGGCCGCTCACACGCTGGTTTACCATGGGCTCCTCTCAAGCAGCAGCAGCACACGGCTGACTTCCAGCGCCGCACTCACACAACGGGCTGGCGGTCAGGGCCCGCCGCAGCACCCCCACGGGCACACGCCCCACCGCCCCTCACGGCACTGGCTCAAGGTCTCGGCAGGAGCAGGGACACCACACGCCGGCTGCAAAGACGCGGCTCCAAGCCCCGCGCCAGCCCAGCCGCAGCAGCCGCAACCCCCCCCTCACCTCCCGGGCCACGCTCGGCCCCGCTCGCCGCCTGCCCATGGTCCGGCCCCGCCCGCCCGTGCATGCGCAGGGGCGCCACGCGCTGCGCTGGGCGGGTGCCATGTTGGGGGGGAGGGCGCTGCCCGCGCCCATGGGGCCGCTGGCCTCGGCCCTGGGGCTGGCCCTGCGAGCCTTGGCGTGGTTCCGACACAGCCGAGGGCGAGCGGCAGCCAGAGCGGTGCTGCCCGCATCCTGCTCTGCCCTCTCTAGAAGTAGCGATGAGGGACGGCTGGGGGAGGACCAGCAAGCTGGGAAGCTGAGGTGGGACTGCTTGGTCGTGCCTGACCCCAGCGCCCTCGGGTCTAGGCAGATCCCAGAGGATCAGTTGGTTTCCCCACAAGTGGAGCCAGCGCATTCCGGGCCACTCCAGGTCGTGTAGTGCTGGGGGTCAGGGATCACTCAGGAAGAAGGCAACCTCGGAAGCACAAGGCAAACCCAGAACGGCTGCTTTGTGGTGTGGTGGGATAAATGACATTTTTTTTTTTGGACATCAGGAGGAATTTCTTCACTGAAAGGGTTGTCAAACATTGAAACAGGCGGTGGGGAAGCCACCTTCGATGGAGGTGTTTCGGAAAAGATGATGTGGAACACAGTGTCATGGTCTAGTTGACATGGTGGTATTTCATCACAGGTTGGACTCACAGGTCTTTTCCAACCTAACTGATTCTGTGATTGTCTTATTCACAGAATAACAAGGACATATTCACATATGTCCTTGGGGCTTCCTACTCAAACTCTAGTCTTGTGCTAAAGCAGCTGAGGAAAAGCTGGCTGTGCAATCTACCTGGAGATAGCACTTCGTGCATGCCAGCCAGTTCAGTGCAAGATGCTAATCATGATGTTCCATATGTATGACAACACTTGTTCTCACCAAGAAAGCTTTTTATGAAACACTGCTATCTTGTATTAAAAAAAAAAAAAAAAGCAACACCACTGAAATGCATCTATCTTCAGGGTAGGTCATGGCTGCTACAGAGAACAGCAGCTCTATTTGCTGGCAAGAAAGGAAGGCTGGGCAGCAGCAACATTTGTTAGACATACAGACTACATTTTCCTTGTGACTAAATACCCTCTGCTGACTGACATTTTGGCAGAATGGCAGGAATGCAGATGTATGTCACGCAAGAAGTAATAATACTGATACCTAATTAGTATGCTTCATTTTTCTTTCAAACACCCCCCTTTCCTTCATTTTTACTGTGAAATAGCATGTGCTGGTTACAGCGTCACTCTCATTTTGTGTCTGGAGAAAAATGAGGGACAGCTGTACTCTTTTCTGCTTCCCAATGTGGTACTTGACTCTATGCAACAGAGTCTATATTTCTGAACCCAAAGGAGCCAGAACTCCAACCTCCAAGCTGAGACACTGTGAGATAACTGCTTTCCAAGCAGAAGCAGCTAGTCAGAAGGCAGTAAAGAAGCTGAACAAGACCCAGCCAGCAGCCCTTGTGAAGCACAGTGTCAGGGGGAGGGAGAAAATGAAAAAGTGGGAGAATGTTATTTTTACTCCTCTTAGACAGAAGACTTGATTAGTGAGTGTAAATACAATCTAAAAATGCATAGAGGTTTGAAGAAACCCATCTGTTATGGTTTACAATGGGGTGAAATAGCCATTAGTTCAACAGAAAGCATTTTCTCCTTCACAAAGGTGAGTATTGATTCAGGGGAGGACTGTCAATTCTCACATACACTTCTCCACAGAGAGACAAACATACACCATTTTGTGGCCAGACGACTGTGACCTTTGCTGTCACATCTTTTGGGAAGACAGAAAAGGGGAACTGGTTCCTCCCTCACAAGCAAGCCACCATTCCCACCATTGCAAGCAGCAGTTTTCAATTGTGTATTACTCCTCCTGGCACTCCTGAATCCATCAAGCTGATAACTTCATTATGCCTGTTACCTGATCTTGTGTCTCCTGGTTCTGCCCTCAACTGATGCCTTCTCTTCATCCATCCCTGTTATGTCTTAATTTCCTACGTAGCATCATTCATGTCTACATGCTAATGCAAGAAAGAAAAACTTCCTTTTCCTCTGCAAATTTATGGTGTTTTTCTTCTTGAAACCTGAAGAACAGGAAGTGTTGCACATGCAATGACATCAGCTTCCATGTTTTAGAATATTCACGGACACGACTATGAATTTGAACTACTCCATATCAAGCAGATGCTATGGTCATCATGCATATCTAAGCTGGAAATCAAAAGTTTTTAGCTTTGAGAGCAATCATATTATGGAACACACCTCCTGCCAGAAAGGTGGGAGGAAAAGAATGAAATAGTTTTTAGTAGGCTCTGGAATAGGATGTCTAACAGAAAGCCTGCAAGAAGAAGGTGCAGGATGTGATGATATACAGGTGGATGCCAAGTAACATATCCAGTAATAAAACTGGATATGGTCCTGGTGAGACCCTGCTCAGTGTCTCTGATTACGCTGTCCTTACTGCATCCTTGCAGCCAAAATGAGTGACAAAGTGGTATTAGAAACTAAAAATACACAACTATCAGCGTTAAAGGAACATTCAGGAGACACTGCACCTGCTTTCCCAGAGGCAGGATCAGATACACTGATGCCACCTCTTGGGGGTTGAATTTTCCCCTTTTCTTTCTGTGGAATTTCCCCTATTGTTATGCTAAGTATTCGGGGCTACACCCAGAAGCTCAGATAGCTAAGTTAACAGTTTCTCTCGAAGAGGGGAAGAGAGGAGAACATCGGAAAAGGAGAGGTGGGGTAGGGGCCTGTTCTCTGTCTCTCTCGCTGGTCTAGCTCAGAGAAGGACTGAGAAGGTCGCTAGAAGGACTCAGAGAAGGTCGCTAGAAACTCCGCTCTGCCATCCCGACGCGGGGGAGCTGCCTTCCTTCGTTGTGGAATCCTGCAACCTCCCTGCTGGGGTGTTCTCCCGCATCTCCTACCGACTCCAGCACATCCTTTTGGAGCATCAGGACTGACACTGCCCTGGGACCTGTGAGCAGCATTTCCCCTCCGCTGTTTTCCATCTGGGACAACAGACGCCATTCACCGCAGCGCCTCTCCAGCCACGTGGGATCACCGCATCTCCTCCCTGCTCACAGGGAGCTGGCAGGCAGTGCCAGAACGGTAACTGCACCATAGAGGAAAGGTGTCCACAACCGAGAGAACCATTCACTGGGTTTTCTGCTCTGTTGCTGTTGATCTCGAAGTTATTGTTTGTTGTTGTGTTTTGTTTCTCTTGATACATATATGTATATATCAGTAAAGAACTGTTATTCTTACCCCGATATCTTCGCCTGAGAGCCCTTTAATTTCAAAATCATAGTGGAGTGAAGCGGGGAGTGGTATACTCTCCTTTTCAAAAAAAGAGGCCCTTGTCTCTTTTGGCAAATACCCGTCTTTCAAACCAAGACACCACCGAAGCAGATGTTTGCCGTACCTGTGCTTTATACAATAGGAATTCTGCCACCTTCTCAGCACCTGTTACACTGCTCATTGACTGGTAGCAGGTTCCTCTCTGTAACCCAATTGAGCTTGTTGCATGTTGACCTATTCTCAGCACGCATGGGGAGCAATTGGTTCCTCCCTCACAAGCAAGCCACCGTTCCCACAGTTGCAAGCAGCAGTTTTCAATTCGTGTATTACTCCTCCTGGCACTCCTGAATCCATCAAGCTGATAACCTCATTATGCCTGTTACCTGAGCTTGTGTCTCCTGGCTCTGCCCTCAGGTGACACCTTTTCTTCATCCGTCCCTATTATGTCTTTATTTCTTATGTAACATTCATGTCATCTACATGCTAATGCAAGAAAGAAAATACTTTATTGATGCGAGGCATCTTCTAGCAACCTTATGTATTTGAGGTTCATTATCTTCTATTTTCTTCTTGTTAGACTCAGTCCTCTACTTTCAATCCTATGCATTTTGCACCTCTAATACTGTTTGTTACCTTCGTCCAGTCCAAACCTAGACTAATCCTATCCAACTTGGGTGTATTGAGAAAACAAAAAAGATTTCCTTTGTGTTTTAGGCACTGTGCTCTATTAATGCAGCCAAGAAGGAATTTTGTCTTTTAATGCAATACTTTCACAATGGCAATTCACGTTTGCTTCACAGGCCTGTAACTCTTCAATGTTTCATCAGTGCTGAAGTCTAGGTAGGTGTTACCCATTTCTTTATTGGTGCATTTAATTTCTTCCCTTTCTCAGTTCAGTATTTTGCACCAGTTTTATGAAATTTTAGCTGGCTGAATGTGAACTATTTCTCCAATTTGCCAAAATCCTTTTTCCCCCCTAATGTGCCTTCTGTCTTGCATGATCCTCCAGACTTAAGGCAAACTATGCAACTAAACATACTTTATTTGATTATCCAAGTCACTGGGGAAGCCAGTTGATAGATGTGGTCTTTGTAAGACCTCCTGATCTGATGACAAACTACTGATAACTAGTTTCAGAGTGCATACCTGTGACAAATATTGTTTCAAAAGCCTTACTACACACCCCAAGATAGCCTGCATTGCTGGGCTTGCTCTCTCTACTATTTCATTTTCTGTGACAAAGAAAGCTAAACAGTTTACATCATTGGTTCTTGTTTTTTTCTCTGCTGGCTATTTCCTATTACCTGATTATCTTTAAGTGATAACAAATTGATTATTTAATAATTTTTTCCACATTTATTGAGGAGATGGGAA